CTCTCTCTCCCTCTCTCCCTCTCGTCCACACTCTCCCATAAACCCAATCTCTCATCCCTCCTCTCTCTCTCCTAGCTCCTCTCTCCATCTCTCCATTCTCTCTCCTCATAGCCTTTTCCCTTGCCCTCCTTTCTCCCTCCTCTTTCTCTCTCTCTTCCCTCCCCCTCTCTTTCTACCCTCTCTACCCTTTCTCCCCCCCCTCACATTTCTCTCTTCTCCCCCTTGTCTTATCCCTCACCCCTATACGCCATCCTCTCTCCTCCCTCTTCCTACCCTTTCTCTCTCCTCTCTCTCCCTCTTTTCTACCTTTCTCTCTCCTCTCTCTCTCTAACCTTTCTCTCCCCCCACAACCCCCCCTCCTCTAGCCCTTCTGTCTGGCGGTAACAAAAAAAAAAAAAAAACAAAAAAAAAAAAAAAAAATATGGTGGCCTTAAGGAACGAAAATCCAGAGATCTTGTAGAAGAACCAGGGAGGAAAGACTGGAGTTAGTAGCTCTCCAACAAGGAGGAAGAGTGGGGAAGAAGAGAGTAGAGCTTGTAAAAAATGGAGGAAGCGGATAGCTGAAGAGTGACAGTAATGGGAAAGTACAGGCCTTAGAGCATCAGAAGCTAGGATACAGTGCATAGAAGAGAAAACTGCAAAGCCGAAGCAGATTAGAGAGAACAAATGACAATTCAGACGTGACATCAGGAAATTCAAAGTCAGGCGCAGACAAGGGGAATGGTAAGCAACACGGAGACATGCCGTACAGGAAGCCCTATCAGACCACGTTGGGCCAGGGAAAAGACGACGAGCACACTGAATCAAACGACATGGTTCTGAAGACTTTGATGGAAATTCAAGGTCACGCGCAAGACAAGGGATGGAAAGCAACAACGGAACATGGCCGTACAACGAAGGACCTATCAGACCCAGACGTGGGGCCAGGGAAAAGAACGATGAGCACACTAAACCACGACAGTCCGAAGAAAAAGAAGGTATTGTTATATGCAGAGTTCTAACAGCCAACTTCAGTAGCCAAGGGGACAGCTGGCCAGAAAGACAGTCCCACTAAGAATAGATGTTTCAGATATGACAGGGACTGAATAGGCAAGAACATGTCAAGAAGGAAACAAAATGCCTCAGGAGAAGCAGATTGAGACTCAGTGGGAGAAGAAAGGGCTAGGCAGTTTTTTGTGTACGGCTTCCAAAAGCCAAGGGGGCCACTTTGAAAGAAAAAAAACAGGAGGAAAAAAAATGATTGAAGGCATCATGAAAAACAAAAAGGGGGGGGGGGGGGGGGGGGGGGAAAAAAAAAAAAATGGGGGGGGGGGGGGGGGGGGGAAAGAAAAAAAAGGGGAGGGCAATATGACCCAGGTGACAAATTATCAGAGAATTGGGTGTTTGGCGATGGAAGGATACGGCCTGTCAGATAACTTTCAAGAGAATCAGTTCGAAACAGGATTCTGTTCTGCAAGAGAAAAGCAAGACTGAGAGACATAGAGGGTACCAGAGAGTATACCCTCGACCGCGACAGAACACAAGAAGCAAGGACTACACTGAAAGAGAGGTACAGAGACGCAAGGAGGAAACGAGAAGCAATGAAAATGAGCAGGACCCGACACAGGAGGAAGGGCATACCAACCCCCACAGAATCTCCCCCAAAAGACCCCACCCGCGACACTCCCAAACGCAACTGAGCAACCTATACTCCAACCCACTCACATGTTCAATGTTCCCTCTGCCACCAATCCCCCATATCACAAACCTCACCCCTACAGCATCCCTTATGGGCATTCTGAACCCCAACCACCCATCAACACATACCCACCTACACCACAGCCCCAGATAGGGCCCCCCACCAAGGCTCTCCCTCCCCCAACCCCAACATACATGCATGACCACAATGATAGAAGAAACTAAAGGTTTGGTACACAAATGCGGATGGAAATCATGAATAAACATGAGGAGTGGAAAATGAAAGAATCAGTGAAAAATCCCCAGACATCATAGCAGGTCACAGAAACAAAAAACTCGCTGAGATAATACAACCCAATCTTCCCAACAGGATATCAGATCCTGAGTAAGAAGAGGAGTAGAGGGAGGAGGGGTTGCACTGCTCATAAAACACCAATGTGGATTTGAGGAAAATGGAGGCATGGACATGATTGAGAAAGAGACTACAATTGTAGGTAGCAATTCAGTCCCCGGAGAACAAAAAGTATCATTGATGATGTATAACCCACCACAGAACTGCAGAGCCAAGAGAGGAGTACGAAAGAAAACAACAAGGGTGATGGTGTACACACTGGCTGAGGTGCAAGAAGAGCTCACCGAGCAGAGCACAGTTTACTGTAATGGCGATTTCAACCATCATGGAGATCGACAGGAAACCTGAGCCACATGGGGGGTCCCCGAAACATGGAGAGCAAAGATATGGATGTGGTACATGAAAACCTCATGCATCAACATGTCAGGGACACAACCCGAGAGCGAGGGGAAGGAATGAGCCAGCAAGACTGGATCTTGTGTTCACCCTGAGCATTTCAGACATCGAGGACATCACTTACTAGAGCCCCTTGAGCTAGCGATTCATGTGGCTTCTGAGATTTGACTATATAGTAAGCTACAAGTGGAGAGGTAACAGGAACTGAAGGGGACAGGCCAACTAAAAAAAGGGGGACACACAGGTATGGAGAAACTTCCTGCAGGAGGTTCAGGGGACCGAGAAATGGTAGTAAAAATCAGTAAACGAGATGATGGAATATGTTGTCAACAAAGTGCAAGGAGCAGAGGAAGTTTTGTTCCGCAAGGGAAACAGAAAAAATTAGGAAGACCAAGACGAGTCCTTGGGTTTACCCGAAGGTGTAGGGAGGCAAAAGCTAAGTGCAAACAGAGAATGGAAAAGGTACAGAGGCATGACCCAGGAAAACAAGGAGATATAGTAGAAGAGCCAGAAACGATATCGCGAATAAGGAAGGAGGCCCAGAGACAGAATGAAACCGACATAGCATCGAAAGTCAAATCTGACCCGAAAACTGCAGTATAGCCACATTAGGAAGAGACAACAGTCAAGGACCAGGTGATGAAAGGCGAGGAAAGAAGTGGGGACTCACAAGAAAACGATCAACGGTATGTGCGGAGCTCAACACGAGATTAAAGAATAATCTTACAGTAGAGACAGGAAGGACTCTGGGGGGACAGACCAATGGGGAACACCAACACGAATACAACCACAAGTGTTTGGACGACATACATACAGATGAGGTGGAGGTGCAGAAACTGCAAGGACATCGAAACCTCAAAGGCAATGGGAACCTGACAACATCTCTCCAATGGTCCTTAGAGAGGGAGCAGATATGTTGAGCGTACCAACTGTAACCACAATCTTCAACACATCCCTGGAAACTGGCAACTACCTGAGGTATGGAAGACACAAAAGTATATCCCAGTTTCCAAAAACGGAGACAGAAAAAAGAGGCACTAAACTATAGACCTGTGTCATGACGTGTATAGTATGCAAAATTATGGAGAAGATTTCAGGAGGAAGAGTGGAGGAGCACCTGGAACGGAACAGGAGTATAAATGCCAACCACCACGGATTCAGGGAAAAAATCCGTGTCACAAACCTTCTGGTTTTTTATGATAAAATAACAAATAAGACAAGAGAGAGGGGTGGGTTGATTGCATCTTTTTGGGACTGCAAAAAGGGCCTTTGACACAGTTCCCTCACAAGAATTATGCAAAAGCTGGGCTCGGCGCATAAAAACGGGAAAGGGCCTGCAAGGATCAGAGAATACCTGACAGGGAGGCAACAACGAGTCTTTGTACGAAATGAGTACACAGGGGGCCCCTGGCAGGGGTCCCCAGGGTCGGCCCTGGGAAACCAGGGCTTTTTTTGGGTATATGGAAAACCCAATGCGGGGGAAGACCAGAATTTCCCCCTGTTTGCAGATATGTAATTATGAAGAATTAAATCTGATGGGGGACCGGGCAGACTTCAAAGAGACCTGGACAGACTGGACACCTGGTCCAGCAAATGGCTTCTCGAATTTAATCTTCCAAATGCAAATCAAAGATAGGGAAGGGCACAAAGACCACAGCAGATATAGGCAGGGGGCCAAAACTGCAAACCTCCCAAGGAGAAAATCTTGGGGTGAGTAAAACCCGACATGTCTCCGGAACACACATCAATCAAAAACTGCGCAGCATAGGGCCCTGGCAAACCTGAGAACAGCATTCCGACACCTTAGTGGAATCACAAACACTGTCACCTGTATTCACCCATACTGTAAAGCAGCACCTTTTTTGGAACCCCACTTGATAAGCACGTCAAGAAACTAAAAAGAAAAAGGTTTGCAAAAAAGGGTTTTAGTTCCAAGCTAAGGGGAAGTCCATAAAAGAAAGATTAAGGGGAAATGGGCCTACGACACTGGAACAGGAGGGTCAGGGAGACAGATAACGACATATAAAAACTGCGTGGGAATAGACAAGGTGGCAAAGGGCAGGAAGTTCCAGGGGGGGGACACAGAAACAAAGCCACAATTTGGGAAATTGAAGACACAAATGACAAGAGATAGTAGGAAGTATTTTCTTTAGTCATAGAGTGTAAGGCATGGAATAGCCTAAAAATGACGTAGGAGCAGGGAAACCCTACACAGTTTTAAGGGCAGGTTTATAAAGCTCAGGGGCGGGGAAAAGAGGGTCTAGTACAGCCGGTGAAGAGGCGGGGCCAGGACAGACTCGACCCCGCAACCACAAATAGGTGATAAAATAGGGGATACACACCACCACACACACACACACACATATATAAATATAATATAATAAAATATATATATATAAAAATAATATATATAATATATAAAATATATATATATATAAAAATATAAATTATATTAAAAATATAGATAATAAAATAACCTATACGTGTGTGTGGTGGACACGCCATCAAATCCCCCTCCTGTAAACGCCTCTCTGTCAAGTTCCGGAGGTCCCCTTTAAGCGTATTTTGTCTTTTGGTAAGACCCCCCCCCTCCCTCCCTCCCCCCCCCTCCCTCCCCCACCATCCATCCCACCCTCCCCCCACTCCCCCCCTCAATCCCTCCCTCCATCCATCCATCCCTCCTTCCTTCCCTCCCCGTGATAGGAATAACATCCCTCTCTCCCTCCTTCCCTCCCTCTTTCCCTACCTGCCTCCCTTCCTCCGTCCCTTCCTCCTTCCCTCCTTCCCTCCTTCCCTCCCTCCGTCCCTCCCTGTGGTGTACAAAGTATATTTCTTGACAAACGTTACGATGTGTTCTTACATCTTATAATTGCTAGTTACAAATAAAGCAACTATCACCCCGGGGTATTTCTGGCAGTATTCACTTGTATGTTTGCAGGGATAAAGTCACAGCTCTTGGCCCCGCATGTTCCCTGGTATCTGCGTGTGTGTATATGTATATGTTGTCTGTATTGTAGTTGCTGGCTTCGACTCTCAGCTCCTGGCCCAGCCTCTTCACCAGAGTTGTTGAACACGGCCTCAGCACTGTAGTACTTACTCGTGAAGCTGTGCAATACCAGTGTTTGCCTTCACAACTCTTTCATGCAGGTTTCCCAGACTTTTCATTCTAATAAACCAAATGACATCTTTAATAACATACATGATATTCTCTTTCTCTAGTAATCATGTTATTGCAGCACAGAATTATGTATGTCGTGATTATATCTCCTTAACTGCTTTGTTTCACCTCTCCCGAGAGAAACTACATTCATTGTGTTATTGTAGTAACGTTCACTCAGTGCCTGGGGTAGTCTGTCAAGTTCTCAGTGCCTGGGGTAGTCTGTCAAGTTCTCAGTGCCTGGGGTAGTCTGTCAAGTTCTCAGTGCCTGGGGTAGTCTGTCAAGTTCTCAGTGCCTGGGGTAGTCTGTCAAGTTCTCAGTGCCTGGGGTAGTCTGTCAAGTTCTCAGTGCCTGGGGTAGTCTGTCAAGTTCTCAGTGCCTGGGGTAGTCTGTCAAGTTCTCAGTGCCTGGGGTAGTCTGACTGTCAAGTTCTCAGTGCCTGGGGTAGTCTGTCAAGTTCTCAGTGCCTGGGGTAGTCTGTCAAGTTCTCAGTGCCTGGGGTAGTCTGACTGTCAAGTTCTCAGTGCCTGGGGTAGTCTGACTGTCTGTCAAGTTCTCAGTGCCTGGGGTAGTCTGACTGTCAAGTTCTCAGTGCCTGGGGTAGTCTGTCTGTCAAGTTCTCAGTGCCTGGGGTAGTCTGACTGTCTGTCAAGTTCTCAGTGCCTGGGGTAGTCTGTCTGTCAAGTTCTCAGTGCCTGGGGTAGTCTGTCTGTCAAGTTCTCAGTGCCTTGGGTAGTCTGACTATCTGTCAAGTTCTCAGTGCCTGGGGTAGTCTGACTGTCAAGTTCTCAGTGCCTGGGGTAGTCTGTCTGTCAAGTTCTCAGTGCCTGGGGTAGTCTGACTGTCAAGTTCTCAGTGCCTGGGGTAGTCTGTCTGTCAAGTTCTCAGTGCCTGGGGTAGTCTGACTATCTGTCAAGTTCTCAGTGCCTGGGGTAGTCTGACTGTCAAGTTCTCAGTGCCTGGGGTAGTCTGACTGTCAAGTTCTCAGTGCCTGGGGTAGTCTGTCTGTCTGTGAAGATCTCAGTGCCTGGGGTAGTCTGTCTGTCAAGTTTTCAGTGCCTGGGATAGTCTGTCTGTCAAGTTCTCAGTCCCTGGGGTAGTCTGTCTGTCAAGTTCTCAGTCCCTGGTGTAGTCTGTCTGTCAAGTTCTCAGTGCCTGGGGAAGTCTGTCTGTCAATCTGTGAAGTTTTCAGTGCCTGGGGTAGTCTGTCTGTCAAGTTCTCAGTCCCTGGTGTAGTCTGTCTGTCAAGTTCTCAGTCCCTGGTGTAGTCTGTCTGTCAAGTTCTCAGCGCCTGGTGTAGTCTGTCTGTCAAGTTCACATTGCCTGGGGTAGTCTGTCTGTCAAGTTCTCAGTCCCTGGTGTAGTCTGTCTGTCAAGTTCTCAGTCCCTGGTGTAGTCTGTCTGTCAAGTTCTCAGCGCCTGGTGTAGTCTGTCTGTCAAGTTCACAGTGCCTGGGGTAGTCTGTCTGTCAAGTTCTCAGTCCCTGGTGTAGTCTGTCTGTCAAGTTCTCAGTTCCTGGGGTAGTCTGTCCGTCAAGTTCTCAGTCCCTGGCGTAGTCTGTCTGTCAAGTTCTCAGTCCCTGGGATAGTCTGTCTGTCAAGTTCTCAGTCCTTGGTGTAGTCTGTCTGTCAAGTTCTCAGTCCCTGGTGTAGTCTGTCTGTCAAGTTCTCGGTGCCTGGGGTAGTCTGTCTGTCAAGTTCTCAGTCCTTGGTGTAGTCTGTCTGTCAAGTTCTCAGTCCCTGGTGTAGTCTGTCTGTCAAGTTCTCAGTCCTTGGTGTAGTCTGTCTGTCAAGTTCTCAGTCCCTGGTGTAGTCTGTCTGTCAAGTTCTCAGTGCCTGGGGTAGTCTGTCTGTCAAGTTCTCAGTCCCTGGTGTAGTCTGTCTGTCAAGTTCTCAGTGCCTGGGGTAGTCTGTCTGTCAAGTTCTCAGTCCCTGGTGTAGTCTGTCTGTCAAGTTCTCAGTCCCTGGTGTAATCTGTCTGTCAAGTTCTCAGTGCCTGGGGTAGTCTGTCTGTCAAGTTCTCAGTCCTTGATGTAGTCTGTCTGTCAAGTTCTCAGTCCTTGGTGTAGTCTGTCTGTCAAGTTCTCAGTCCCTGACGTAGTCTGTCTGTCAAGTTCTCAGTGCCTGGTGTAGTCTGTCTGTCAAGTTCTCAGTCCCTGGTGTAGTCTGTCTGTCAAGTTCTCAGTGCCTGGGGTAGTCTGTCTGTCAAGTTCTCAGTCCCTGGTTTAGTCTGTCAAGTTCTCAGTCCCTGATGTAGTCTGTCTGTTAAGTTCTCAGTCCCTGGGGTAGTCTGTCTGTTTGTCAAGTTCTCAGTCTCTGGTGTAGTCTGTCTGTCAAGTTCTCAGTGCCTGGGGTAGTCTGTCTGTCAAGTTCTCAGTCCCTGGTGTAGTCTGTCTGTCAAGTTCTCAGTCCCTGGTATAGTCTGTCTGTCAAGTTCTCAGTGCCTGGGGTAGTCTGTCTGTCAAGTTCTCAGTGCCTGGTGTAGTCTGTCTGTCAAGTTCTCAGTGCCTGGTGTAGTCTGTCTGTCAAGTTCTCAGTGCCTGGGGTAGTCTGTCTGTCAAGTTCTCAGTGCCTGGGGTAGTCTGTCTGTCAAGTTCTCAGTGCCTGGGGTAGTCTGTCTATTTGTGAAGTTCTCAGTGCCTGGGGTAGTCTGTCTATTTGTGAAGTTCTCATTGTCTGGGGTAGTCTCTCTGTCAATCTGTGAAGTTCTCAGTGCCTGGGTTAGTCTGTCTATCTGTCAAGTTCTCAATGCTTGGGGTAGTCTGTCAAGTTCTCAGTGCCTGGGGTAGTCTGTATATATGTGAAGTTCTCAGTGCCTGGGGTAGTCTGTCTGTCTGTCTGTCAAGTTCTCAGTGCCTGGAGTAGTCTGTCTGTCAAGTTCTCAACCCCTGGGGTAGTCTGTCTGTCTGTCAAGTTCTCAGCCCCTGGGGTAATCTGTCTGTCAAGTTTTCACTCCCTGGGGTAGTCTGTCTGTCAAGTTTTCAGCCCCTGGGGCAGTCTGTCTGTCTGTCAAGTTCTCAGCCTCTGGGGTAGTCTGCCTGTCAAGTTCTCAGTGCATGGAGTAGTCTGTCTGTCTGTCAAATTTTCAGTCCCTGGGGTAGTCTGTCTGTCTGCCTGTCAAGTTCTCAGCCCCTGCGGTAGTCTGTCTGACAAGTTCTCAGCCCCTGGGGTAATCTGTCTGTCTGTCTGTCAATTCTCAGTCCCGGGGGTAGTCTTCTGTTGCAAGTTTTCATTCATGGGGGAGTTGTCTTCTATAAGTTGTCAGCCCCCCGGGGGGAGTTGTCTGCAAGTTTTTAGTCCCTGGAGTAGTCGTCTGCCCAAAATTCTGCCCTGGGGTAGCTGTCTGCTCCTGTCAGTTCTCCCCCCTGAGGTAGTCTGTCGACATTTTTCAGCCCTGGGGTGTCGTCCTGTTTCAATTCCAGCCCATAGGGAGTCGTTTTTCTGTCGTCAATTTTCTCCCTGGGTGGGCTTTCGTCAAGTTCTCAGTCCCCGGGGTAGTTGCCCCAAATTCCAGTCCCCGGGGTGCGTCAAGTTTCATCCCTGGGGTAGTCGTCAAGTTTCAGTCCCTGGGGAGTCTTCGTTTTTCATCTGGGTGCTGTAAGTTCTCTCCCCTGGGGTTTGTCTGTCAATTCCAGTCCCTGGGGTAGTCTTCAAGTTCTCGTCCCCGCGGTATCTTCAAGTTCTCATCCCGGGGGGAGTCTGTCAAGTTCTCATTCCTGGGGTAGCTTCAAGTTTTTCAGTCCCTGGGGGGGAGTCTTTAATTTCATTCCTGGGTGTCGTCAAGTTCCGTCCCCGGGGGGCTGTCAAAATTCTCAGTCCCTGGGGGTAGTCTGTCAAATTCTCATTCCCCGGGGTTAGCTTCAAATCTCATTCCCTGGGGGAAAGTTGTCAATTCCATTCCCCGGGGAAGTTGTCAAGTTCCAGTCCCGGGTAGTCGTCAAGTTCTCATTCCCTGGGGTATTTTTCAATTCTCAGCCCGGGGTTCTGCAAGTTTCGTCCCTGGGTAGTCTGTCAATTTCAGTCCCCCGGGGTTTCTGTCTGTCAAGTTCTCAGTATTTTAAAAGTTTTGAAATTTATTTTTTGTATTAAATTTAACAACCCCAAGACTGTGATTGACCACGTGACCCCCTGGTTTTATGGACCACTTGACCACCCATGTGAGGTGCCAGTTTTGCCACCCGTGGGAGGGGACCCGATGTGACCACCCCTTGGGGTGACCCCGCGTGACCACCCCGGGGAGGTGACCCCTTGACCCCCTGTGTGAGGGACCACTGTGACCAACCCCGTAGGTTACCCCATGCGGCCACCCTTATGACCCGCTGGACCACCCTGTAAACCCCCCTTTACCACCGGTGAGGTGACCCGGCCCCCGTTTTGGGTGACCCCCTTGGGCCCCTTGAGGGGCAGCTGTTACCACC